ATAAAGCTCAAGAGTTTATTCGAAGCAGTTCATCGGAAGAATGGAATAACATGGATACCAGAGTGATTAAAACAAACAAAGCCAGAGATAATGTACTTTCTATTATATTCGAATGTGAAGAAAGAGAAATGATAAGACAGTTGGACTGGAAAATCACAATCAGGGGGAAGAATTGTATTATTGCAGATTACATTGGACTTGAACAATGTGTATTCTGTTGTAACTTGTTTGGTCTCAAAAATGATCGCTGCTCTTGTAATATGATCATTCCGAAATGCTCTGTATGCAACGGCAACTTTCATGGCAGAACTAATACAGCTAATTACTGTTCAAATCAGCCCAAATGTGGACTATGTTATAGAGCGAACTTTCTTAATGGCACCAGAATTGATGACAATCATCCTAGTAATTACTTCGCCTGTATAACCCTCTCAGATTACGTGGTGCGATGCCTACTAACCAAAGGAAGACACTATCAAAGCCTAAGACTAGCTCTCTTCTCACCAATGATTTACAACTAAAGATTTGAGAATCACAACAATAAAACAGATTCTCTGCTGCCTATCTAAGCCCAACAACAATAACTAAACAGTAATTATACTAAGAATTATCTATAGATCATAAAACTATAAAATCTAAAGAAAAATCTCTCTTTTCACATTTTCTCATTCCTAATTGCAAACTTATCTTAATTATCTTCAGACCCTCTCAATTCCTAAAATTTCTGTAAAACTAAACTACTCAATTTCAATTACATTAACCTATAACCAATTTAGCTCATATTTCGATCAATAACTAACTCTAATACTAACAAACTATTATTACACAATTGTTTCTAAATTAAATAAATATCATACAATAAACAATCAACATTCGCAGATTAACAAATAATCAAAACTAAACAGTTACAATTAATTAAAACAAACACTATGATTGGCTACTACCAAATCCAATCACCCCCTTCTCACTCAAATTACATAAGACACATTATATAAAAGCAGCACCATTAATTCAAATTCACTAGTATCTAGCGACTCTTTAACTGTCCTGAACTGAAACTCTATAAAATTTCCTTAACTTTAATTTATCATGTTCTATGAGGATCAACATGTTCTATTTTACCTCCAACAACCTGAACAAACAGTTTTTGAATGTAATGTGCCAATCGAGGAAAATGATAACATCATTAACGACAACGTATTGACCAGAAATGATTTAACTCACAAAAGTTACGTCATAATGATTGACACTGATGATGAAGACATTGGTTTTGGAATACCTCCTGAGACGGAAGCTCAACTCGCAATTCTTGGCACCTACATACATAATGATTATGTTCAAAAAATATGGAATTGGCACGAAGTCGAGATCAACAACAACATCTATGTTACAATCAGAAGTGACGTCTTTGCCTCCACACTACACAACATCATATGGTTCAAAAGATCGGGCCGTCTATTTGTGAAATCACTTGTTCAAAGAGAAATGATCGAGCGTCATCTCGCTGCCATTGTACCCAACTGATTCGTGGGTCACTCTCCATGATCATTCCCTGATTGGCTCTCACTCACAGGACATATGTAACAACCCGCCCTCACTCCCCTCACCATTTTCCTTCTTTACTTTTCTACTCTTATTGAACTAGAAGCATCACAAAACACCACACTTAATAACTACTGCAAACACTTACTATTACTGTTATCACTGAAACAATATACTTATATCCCTATATATTCCGTTTAATATCTGTAATTCACTACAATTGTACCTTCACAGTTTCCTAAATCAACGATAATAAAATTCCCAGCAATTCAAATGGATGTTCGAATTATTTGTATTAATTGCCACTCAAGAAAAAACAATCAACATATATATGAATTAGTGAACAAACACAACTCAATAGTTGTAGCCTCAGAAGACGAGGACTACAGACCTGGTACCAACAAGATTAAAGGTTCGAGAATAAGCCTGATTATACCTAAGGAGTGGACAATGATCAATAGTAAAATACTTGTGAACAACATCATAGTTGCTGATATAAAAAAGAAAATGTATAATAAGACTCATCTGTATATATCGCCCACCATCGAAAATTGAACCACTACAAACTCTAACTGAACTATTAATGAATCTTGATAATCCCACCTTTATAGTAGGTGACATAAATATGGAACTACATATCTGGACTGATTGCCCTCGTTTGGAAAAACACTTACCGAAAGCCACTGTTACTCAACTTGAAACTACACTAAATGTCAAAAAATTCAAAAGTCTAACGTTGAGAAACAGACTAAGCTACACTAGACAATCGGTGAACAGAAAATCCAAACTGAAAGGCAGCAACATTGATATAATACTTACCAATGCGAAAGTCTTTTCAAATGAATGTGAATATTTACAATTTGAGAACCTTGATCATCTCATGATAAAGTGTCGCACCACCATCAAATTCAACATGAATATACTAAAAAACCTGACACCTCGAATACCGATCTATGATAAAACTCTCCTAATCTCACATGACATCGAACAAATGACATGCAACATATTAAATCATGCGATACCAATATCATATCGTAACTCACATGGAAAACATAATCGAAGGACTCGAAAACTCAAAAAGAAATTGACTACACTGAAATCCCTCAGAAAAATGAGAGGTACAATACTGTAATGAACAAACTCAAAGAAAGTGCCAAATCACGAAAACCAAACTTATTAAACTATCAACACTGGAACTTCAAAAACTCATGAACGAGAAAAAATTTGATCCTGTTTACAAAAATGATCCGTTACTAATCAAAAACAGAAATTACTTTTCCAAATGGCGCAATGAAAATCAACGATATGATAACCAAAACTTCATCTCACTAACACCACATGAAATAACAAACCTTAAGAAAATGAACTTTAAAAAGTCATCGGGTTATGCTGACGCATTTACGGTCAACAAATGGAACAAGTTCTGGGAAAACAACACTGACACGGTAATTGAACTGATAAACAACATCTTCGAAACAGGCTTTATACCCAAGCAACTAAAAATCAGTGGTGGAACTGAAATCCCCAAAGCAAATGGGGGACACAGAATCATAAGAACCCAAGCATTTATTGCAAAGATAATAGACCTGATTCTTGCAAGAAGACTAAAAAAATGGATGAAAGACAGAATAGACATGGATCTTCAATTTGCATACCTGAAACATGATCGAATTGATTTTCTGATGGAGCTGTACAAGTACTCTAGTGACTACTCCTCTATTGTTATATCTGATATAACTAAAGCTTTTGATAAGATTGACAGAGAAGCTTTCATGTCAAGAATCAGGCACATGGACAAACAAACCTGCTGGCTTATTGAAAATTTTATGATTGGCAGACAACTAAGAACTTTTCAAAATGGCAAGCTCATCACAGAGGATGATCCTGAAAGTCTGCAAGGACTCAGTCTTGGGCCACTTTTATTTGTTCTAGGACTTGATGAAACTTTAAAAATATTAAACAATAGACCAAATAAACAACGACTCCTAGCCTATGCAGATGACCTCATCATTATGTCGAATAACCAAATAAATACTCTTTCTGAAACGAACATCAGAATGAGCAAAATTGGTCTTGCTCTAAACATGGAAAAAACAAAGCCACTAACGATCGAACCAACGAATAAGAAGCAAAATCCGGTGGTAGGATATGAACTATGGTATTCAAACAATGAACTACGAATAATTAATGAAGCCATATCGAGATGTAAATTAAATGAACTTCAAATACAACTCATGAAACAAATGAGTCTCGATCAAGTCAAGATCATGTACAACTCACATCTAGCTCACCTGCTTGATCACCTAGGTATGGCTCCTTGGCTAGACAACAAACTATACACCTTCAGGATTAATCATCTACTCAAAATTGGAAGGAAAATCACATGCAGAATAATGAATCAAACCAAACTAAGAAACTACTGGTTTGAATTCATACTGGACATGCCGAATCCAGCAATTAAGTACATGACTCATATGCTGGTTAAATGCATGACGAATGAAGTCGAACCCAAATCATTTCCTATTATCTACATTCTTGATGAGATATTCAGACGAGATGAGTTAAAATATATAACGCACTATGAGAAATACTCTGAAACAGTAAACAGACCTATTGATGGGATGACTACTAGAACAATTTCACAGACAAAGACCATTATCAAGATCCTGAAAGTTACCAACATGTACAACACCTTCTGTATTCAAAAAACTGGAACAAATCTACATAGACATATAACCACTATATGCCCTAAGAGAAGTCAATTTGATACAGAAAGGATGCTGATCAAGATAATTGATAACACAGTTGAAAAGAAAACCAAAAATATAATAATACTCCCAACTCAATTCAACAAATACAATTTAAAGACACTCCAAACCATAATGATGATAAATGAAATTGAATATGAAATTACTATGGACAAAGAACTATGCCTTCTGGATGAAAAGGACATTGAACATGAAAGTGGTTACATGACACTAAATCAAATCAAAACCAAAATTCGAAAATTCCTAAAATCAATGGAAATGAAACAATTCAGAAAAAGAAATCTTGACCTCCTAAAGATCTTATATCCATACGGAACCACCAAAACTCACTTCTACTATGAAACAGCACTCATGTACAAGATAAATTATATTAACATTAACATTAACTATCTCATTCATGAATGTGCCATGCCAATGACCCACACACACTTAAAAGAATGTCCAAACTATAAACCAAAATGGGGAAACTGGAACATGAATAATAATAATTACCATGAAACTAAAAGACTAATTGGAAATATTTTCAACAATATACAAGCAGCAAAATCATAAATCATGAATTTATAAATTGAATCAACCTCGTTGAGACACAAAGTGTCCACTCCCAATGAGGGAGCCACTTCTCAAGTGGGAATAGCTGTTGAATCAGCACTTCATCCAAATGATGAAGACAACAAAATATCATATCATGTTCTGAGCCAGATTTACCTTTTAGTTTTTCCTCTTTTTTCTCTCTCTTTTTCTTTCTTTAATGCGTATTCTAAATTGTTATTTAATTTAACCAATATTTACAGACACATGTACATTAATTAACTATAATTTCGGTGTATGTTTATATGTAATTTAAATCAGTTGAACTTAATTCGCGAGAAATAGAAAACACCACAATAAGGAGATTCATCTTTTTCTATTTCTTAATTTTCTCTTCTTCTGCTTTGGCCCTAAAAACCATCATCATCAACAAATCTTTATTGTATATTGTGTTTTTTTTTCTGCTCCTTTTTTGTCTTGCTTCTCATCTGTGTCTTCTTGTGTTTCACACATACCTATATATTCACAACCACAACACACACACATACATACACACACTCACCAACAAATATTTCTTGTTTACTACATTTATATATACATAAACCTTGTTTCCAGATCACACATATACCAAACCACACATTTGATTTGTAATTAATAGTAAAATGGCCAAACCAAGTGATAATGGACATTATGTGTACTACTCTAATGGTGATAGTAACAAGACCTGTATACTTGTCAAATTAACTGATTCAGCTTTAAATGCAATTGAAAACCACCTTTCATCTAATTCTCTAGCCTTGCCAAGTATTACATTCAAGTCAGATACCAATAATGGTGTCCTTAGTTTTCCTGTTCCGAAATCAAACCATTCACATCCGGATGTTAACAATGAAAACTCTGGTGGTGGACCTAGTGAACGGCGTTTCAGTTTTAATTTATCAAATGCTGAAGCTGGTGGACCCCAAGGTAGTTTTGAATGTTTACGGCAAACAGATTCTAGAGTATTAAAAGGTCTTGGTAGTATACAATACAAGATGCAGATTCATGCCAGTGAAGATAGTTATGAAAGAACAAAGGAAAGGATGGCGGAAAGTCAAAATGAATCAAAGAAATATTGTACAAAGGTTATCAAGGGCATTGGTTCAACTGTTGGAAGACGAAGTAAAGTAAAGAAAATTACTGGTTTTAGTCAATCTATTGTTAACGGTTCCAGAGATAATGGTACTAGAGATTCGGGTGGAGGCGGTGGAACCATTAGTAATAATAGTAGCCATCTTCACCATTCAAGTGCTTTATCCAGCCATAATCATCATAAATCTAGCTCACCTACAGTTATAAAGAGTAATTCTAGTGGTGTGAATAAATATAATCTATACCATGGATCATCAAATTCTACCACAATCTCTTCTTCTTCTTCCTTGTCTTCTTCCTCTGGAACTGGTCTTACCTCAACAACCACCTCGACGTCTTCTTCTTCCTCCTTGTCAACAAATTCCTCATCAATTTCCTCGTCAAACAGTCTGGCCAACAATATATCTTCATCATCTTCTTCAAATACTTCTTCTTCCCTAACAAACTCACAGCCATCATCGATCAATGGATCCAATTTATCGATGAACCGAGATGCAATTAAGGGAAACAATTCAAATTCAAGTACACCCAATTGTAATATAAATGCCAGTAATAGTCGTAATGCCAATAGTGGTTCAAAGGTAACATTGGCCTGCAATCCTGAGCTTATGAAGAAATCTCTTCGAGAAAGAGTTATCCATTTACTTGCTTTAAGACCTTATAAGAAACCGGAGCTGCTTGCAAGACTAAACAAGGAAGGTATCAAGGAGAAAGATAAGAAAAATTTAAGTCAAGTTTTCAATACAATATCCAAATTAAAAGAGAATGCATACAATTTGGCTGCTCATGCTTGGCATGAGGTACAAGTTGACGATTGGCCATTCTATACACCCGAACAAAGAGAGATTGTCCGAAAGCGGAAAACTCTTGAAATTCAACAAAGGTCATCAACGGGTAAATATGGTTTATCTCCTTTAACTTGTCTCCAGGATTCGTCACCATCAGCTAGTTCAGTCGCAACGTCATCTTCATCAACCAATAACACCAATACCAATAATAGTAACAGCATCAACAACAACAACAACAACAACTCATCTTTATCATCATCGACAAGTAAAAGGTCTGCTGAAACTGGTTCTAGTAATAAAAGGCAACGTCTTAATGCCAATAATCAATCTTCCTCCAAAAGAGGACTTTCGCCAAATGTCGCCTTAAATCATAATACCAACAGCATGATGAACAACTCTACCAATAATAGTAACAACTTTAACAATAGTGGTAAAAATGACCTACCGGATATAATGAGTGAGTGGTCTATGAAACCAAGGAGTCCGGAACCAAATTATTATACTAATAGTGCCTCAAATCATAATGTTGACAATTCTGTTAACAACGGTGAAAATAATTCTGGTTCAATGTCCAAAAGTTGGATTAATGAGAACGGTAGTGATGAAAATCGTTCAAGCCATAATGCCAGTGATTATTATAGCGGTCGATCAACAGTCAACAATCTCTCGGATTTTGACCAATATGATAATAGTCATGGAAATGGTCATTCCTCACATGATGCTCATCGTACAACCAATGGTTACTCAAACTCCAGTGAAGGTGGTAATCAAACAGTAAATGGTCATCATTACAACAATAATAATAATCGTTACTCTTCAAACAACAACAACAACAACAACAACAACAACAACAACAACAACAATAGTAATAATAATTATCATCATCATGGTAATTCCATGAGCACATCAAAAAGTGATTATAATGGTGATCTACATAATAGTAGTGGCAGTGGCAATTCAAATTCCGGTAACGGTCTCAATAGTCGGAAAAGGCTTAAAAATGGCTACAACAACAACAACAACAACAACAACAACAGTGTTAATAATAACAACAGCCATAGTAATCATAATAGTAACATGAATAATAATAATAATAATCATTCTCATCATTCAAGTGGAATGGTCAACTTATTGAACAGCGGTTCCATGGTGAACGGATCAAATTGTTCAACACCAAACTCAAGTCCAGACAGTGGAACAGGTAGTAATGATGGTAACCTATCGACGATTTCTTCTAAGTCCTTGTCTTCCATAAATTGTGAATTACCTGATTATGCCATTAAATTTGTAGAGATTACAAGTGATGATCAATCGCGAAAATATAAAGAAGAATTTAATAGTGAATATAAAGAATATCGTCGTTTACATCGTAATATTGACCAAGTTGCACGAAAGTTTTCCGCCTTTGAAGCTAAATTGAAAAGTTTACCGGAAGGATCTGACGAATGGAATAAAACATTAGAAGAAGTTTTCAAGGAATATGATACAATCAAGAAAGATTACAAATTCATGGAATCCAAACGACGGGTTGCCTATTTACACGAGAAATTATCTCACATTAAAAAATTAATCCAAGAGTACAAGTCTTCACAAGGGCATCGCTCTACTCATTATAATACAACAACCATGTCTCATCACCACACCAACTACAACAACCACCACAATAACCATAACTACCACCACCACCACAAACAACAATCAAATCATCATTCATAAATGGTAATACCATTGCCTGATTACTTCTGTATGTTAAAAGAGATCTTCCCCTTTACTTTTTTTGCTCTTTTTTCTCTTTCTGTTTTTTTCTCTCTCTCTCACACACACACACACACTCTACTGTCTGCGATAAAAATCAACAAATGGATTAATTCTATTCTCTCTCTCTCTCTCTCTCTCTCTCTACCTTTATCACTCTCTCTCTCTCTCTCTCTCTCTGCTTTTCTCTCTATCTCTCTTGCCATTGTGTTCTCACAATGACCTAAGTATTTATTAGAGTTATTACCCATCTCTTTCTGCAAGCAAACAAAAAACAACAAAAAAATAATATACATTGCATATACACTTAAAATCATTCTCTCTCTTGCTCAATCTCTTTTCATTTCGCTCTCCTTTTCAATTAACCCAATTTATTTTACATGAAATCGCGTAAAAAACAACAACAAAACGAAACCGTGCCATCGCTAATTAATAACAAATGATTAAAGCAAAACTTTCTCTCTCTCTCTCTCTTCAACATGTACACACTTGATTATAAAATGTTTTTCTCAATCAACAACAATCTCCATTGGTGAACAAAAATCAATCAAAATGGTTGACAAGATAAAATTCTCTAAACGGGGATTTAAAGAGACTAATCTGATGATCGCCATTTTAAATTATACATTTAATCTGATTTACACCCTAATGGTGGAGATCAAGTACCTTAGTGAATAAGGGGAAAAACAAGTTGATTATTAATCGATGACAATAAGCATGATCAATGAAGATGATTAATAGAGGAAAGGAAACATTGAAGGAAAATGTGACTAATATTGAGAAAATTTAAATTATCATCAAATTTTATTCTGGTCGTTTGTTTGATTATCATTTCAACTTTAAACTATCAAGAAAAAAACGTATATTATTTATTGATATTGGATTAGGAATCAATATCAATGTGATTGATTTAAGTTCTGTTAAGCTCTTGGAGTAAATTAAGCAAAAAATAGCAAAAAGTATCAAATTGTAATTAGTATAAAGGTCAACAATTTACCAAAAGTCAATATAATCAACAGCTGATTCGCTAAATGTCAATAATATTATCACCATTGATTAGAATCATTAAGAATCAACTAAAAACAATCAATTGTGTCGATTTCAATGTGTATCAAGAAGAGAGAGAGAGAGATGAGGATGAAAAAGATTCTTTTATCAATTCTGTCTAATTTTTTGCTTTCTGTTTCTTTCGCCAAATATCAGGAAGAAGATGAAGATGAAGATGAAGAAGATGATGATGATGGAGATGATCAGGAGGATGAGTAACAAGAATCCAAAGGGATCTGAACCAAGAAAAGAAAATAGTGAAAAAAATTGAGACCAAAAGGGAATCAGTTGCATGAGAAAACGATTTTCATGGTAACCATTGAGTTCTTAGTCGATTTATCAAAGATTAATTAAGATTCCAAGATAAACTTTAATTGTTATCTTTTTAATTGCTTTGCGATTTGATTACTTTCATCTTAATTGTAACAGTCAATTTTCAATAATTTCTTTTATAATTGTTGTTGATTATTCTGTTCACTTTTCTTAACTTTCTTCATCTTCATCTTACTTTTCAATTGTTGTTATTTTCAGTTTGATATCAATTAACTAATTACAATTAAAAGTAATTATAAATATACTCTTTCTGTATTATATTCTGGTTCCTTGAAAGGTAACAATTAATCAACATTATACATTCTAATTGTGTTTATTTAGAGTGTTGATTATCATAATATGCTAATAATTTATCCAATTGTTTTCTCATCCTAATCTAATTGGTTTGTTACCTGATTTATTATTTTGACAATTATTTACCTTTTAAAAGCAATTGTTTCAATTTCACTTTAATCAACTGTGTTAATTAAATCAACTTTATACCAAATGGTTAAACAATTAAACAGATCAGTTAATAGTAAATGTTTTATTGAATCAGAGAGACACAAACAAATCAGCAATCAAATGGGTTTCATTTTATTGGAATAATTGAAAATTACTCTTTGTCCTTTCAACACTTTTCTCTATTGATTTAGTTAATTGTCGACAATTAACCAGCAGAATTCCATTGAAATCACTGATTGATTAACTAAATCGACGATGATTTAGATGGAACATGAAAGAAGAGGAAGGAAAAGGTCAGAAAAATGAAGTTGCTTGTTGATGGAAAAAAAGAATAAACAACTTGTTGGAATATTTTTTTTTCTTTTTTCCTCTTGTCATCATCATCATCATCTTATCTCTTCCTTTTCTCTTCTTCTTCTTCATCTTCTCATCATCTTGACACTACTTCCCTTTAATCTGTTGTCTAATTTGATTATTTGTTGGTTTTACCCTTCAGGGTATTTGTGTTACTCTTGATTGTTTTCAGCGCTTTTCTCATTACAATTAAATCATTTAGAAAGAGTTTAAAATAATTGTTCAATTCAAACAATCAACAACAACAACAATCCAATTTCACCCATTTTTATTTATATAAATTGTCATCATTTTAAATCATAAACAGTTAACATAATCATTTGATTATATAATAGTTACAATAACAGAAAAGCAATCAAATGTAAGATTTTTTTTTCTGGTCATTAACAAGAAAAAAAAAGTTTACTTGATGATGACAACGGATGATAATGATAATAACGATGATAATAATGACGTTGATCGTATTGTTTGTGTTAATCGAAGCAGCAATCAAGAAAAAAAGTTAATCAATTGACGAGTGAAGATCCTTTTTCCCTATCAACAGTTACAATTAACAGTTTTGTCGATAACAATAATATGTAACTCATTTTGTGTTATATATTTTTTTCGTAATATCTTTTCATGAAAAGGAAACAAATTCAATCAAACATCATCATCATCATCATCATCATCCCCATCATCATCTTCATCTTCTTCATTATCAAGTAACCAAGTTAAAAGAAAGCAAAATCAGAGAGGGAAAGGAGGTTAAATTAACTCATGATGATGATGATAATGATGAGGGAGAGAAGGTAAATAAAGATGAAAAAACTGGTTTCTCCATCATCATCAATACTATTCAAACTATTATCAAGAAGCTTTTGATTATTATTATTTTTTACTTATCCTTAAAGAAATAACTTCTCACTCTCACTCATCATTATCATCTCTCTCTCTCTCGTTATCTTCCTTATCTTCTCTCTCTTATCTTCTCCTTCTTTTCGTTCTTCGACTATTCATCTTGACGGTTCTTGTCTTTCGTTCGGATGTTGTTGTTTCGATAAAGTTTCTCTCTCTCTCTCTCTCTCTCTCTCTCTCTTCTCTCCCTTTCTTTCTCCCTTTCTTTCTTTCTCTCTCTCTCTCTATCTCTCTTACTTTTCATCTTCTCTTTCATTCTGATTCCAGGATTTTCATCCATCTTCATGACGTATCAGTTTTGAAATGGGAAAACCTGAGATTCAGCTAATAAACATTAAGGTAAAAAAGTACCAACATGATAATTGAAATAAAATTAACTGAATAATAATGATTGATAAAAGTTGATTTGATATATTTAACTAATAATTAAACTGTTGATTATCTTAATAATACTAATCATTATTGTGATTATTTTTATCTTCCTTTTAATTCTTGTTTTTTTAAGTCTTATATTTTTGATATAATCAGTTGATATTAATTATTGATTAGTGATTAATGATTTTACGATTTTTTTTTGTAGGAAAAAAATCCAATTCAATTATTTTAATTGTAATCATTTAAAATTATCATTATAATCCTAATGATGATTTGGTTGACTTAATTAGGATAAGTTGATTATCCTAATGCGATTTTAAATTGTCGATCTTCAAATTAATCTCGTAACTTAATCAAATTAAATGTTATCAATTCAACAATCATTATGAACAAACTAATGCCAATGATTTTGATTGTGATTATGATTGTTAATAGTTAGTTAATCACGTTAATCACTTGATTTTAATCATCATTAGTTAAACATTGTTTCAAAGTTGTAATAATGATTTTGTATTAGCAACAATTAGCCAACAATCATTTCAAATTGAACAAAGTTGATATAAATGATTATCACAATTCAATTAACTGAATTGAATAACAATTGAAAAGAATTTAATTTTATAAGTAAAATTAGTAAATTGTTCTGACAGATGATTAAGGTGTTGTCAAGAACAAAATTAAAGGTAAATCTGTCACAATCAGGCGTTAATTGATTGTAATTTAACAATAATTAGCGAGCTTAACATTGGCTTAAATCTTATTATTATCTAAATCAAGTAAACCATAATCAACTGCGTTGATTAACAATACAATAACTTTCCAGTTAATTGTGACCTCAAACAAATTGTTAAACTGTCAAAATTAATCTTGATAACCTTGTATCATTATCATTATTTACTGAAAGGCTAAATTGTTGTTAATAGTAACATTAGTTAGCTAACTAAATGATGAATTCAGTTTCTATCTATGAAACTTTTTCCTATTATAATGTATCTGAATGGTGAATCAACTCAACTCTCACTGATTTATCAAGGTTATCATCATCATCATCATCATCATCATCATCATCATCATCATCATCTATGGATGATGAAAAATAGCTGAAACTAAATTAACTAAACAAATTTTTACTCAATTGTTATGATTAAAGGTAAATAAAAAGTTGATACAGTGAAAAACATTGAGACTGATTAAATTGAATTGGAAAGTTAAATTAGTTGGCTTCCTTGTTTTTTTGGTTAATCAACAATTTACTTGATCAACAACAATCAACTTTCAATCATTTTGGTTAAACCGTCAATAATTAAGTCTACACTTCAATTATAATCATGTAATGAGCTGAAAAAAAAGTTGAGTTGAGAAAAAAAAAGTTTTCAATCTAATTGTCGTTTCTGTTTGATTAACTTTCACTATTAAGGAAACAATCTGATAAACAAATGAATTCAATCAACAATTGACTGATTTAATTGTTGTAGACTTTTATATAAACTTTTTTATTGTCATTTTGATTGTTGGTAAAATTTTAATTCTAATAAAAATGTTAATCCAAAAAGAAACAGTGAAAAACTTTGATTATATTTCATTTTTGATTTGGTTGTTTTGTTTTTCTGGTTCATTCTGATTGTTTCTGGTAATTGTTGTTATCCAATTTGTGATTGTAAAAGTTGATTAAGATTGACTTTTCTCATTGTATCTTGATAATAATCAGGGTATTATCTTAATCAAGTTGCATGTTCAATGTAAATCTTTTCATTTCTTCAGTTAGTTTACTTAATTTGATCAGATAGTTTTAACCAGTTTCACTTGAATTAACTTTTACTGATTTGTTATTGATTATTGGGTGTTGATTAATTGTTATTTTTAGATTTCCAATCATTGGATTACCGATTGATTGTTGAGACAATTAGTGAGATTTTGTTGTAAAGGAGTTTACAGTCCTGTCTGTTTATTGGTAATCATTTTTAGGATAAAAATGAAAGGCTTAAGATTAACGGATTACATTTTTCACTTAATTTATCACATTGGTTTTTCATTACAATTGAATTGATTGGTTTCTACTACTATTTAATTAACCGAGGATATTTCCAAGAATACCTGTGCCTGAGTTAGATCCTAAAATATTTCCAACAAGTCCTGAACTTGATCCTGATCCTGATCCTGAGCTTGAGCTTGAGCTGAATGAAGATCGTGATCCACCTCCAACGATGTTAGAAGCGGCTCCGACAACGCCATTAAGGGATCCTCCATTTCCTGAGCTGTAAGAAGATGATGATGATCCTGAATTAGCACCGAGAAGTCCGTTACCTGATGATGAGCTTCGGGATGAGCTGTATGATGATGATCCTGAATTACCACCGAGAAGGTTTGAAGCGGTTCCTAAGACTCCACCAACAAGTCCATTTCCTGAGGCTGATGATGAGCTTCGGGATGAGCTGTATGATGATCCTGAATTACCACCGAGAAGGTTTGAAGCGGTTCCTAAGACTCCACCAACAAGTCCATTTCCTGAGGCTGATGATGAGCTTCGGGATGAGCTGTATGAAGATGATCCTGAATTACCACCGAGAAGGTTTGAAGCGGTTCCTAAGACACCACCGACAAGTCCGTCTTTTGAGACTCCACCGAGGATACCACCGAGTAAACCGTTGCTGTTTGATGATCCAGTGATACCAGTGACAAGGTTGGAAGCGGTGTTAGTTACGGATGAAGCGAGATCGCCAGTGCTTGAGGTAAGTGAAGTTGCTAATCCATTGACTTGGTTAAGAGCTGAATGGCTTGCGGCATATTTGCTTGAAGCGTCAAAGCTTGATGAGGAAGATGAGTGTGATTTAGCAGAGTGGGAAGCATCATAGGAAGATCGAGAGTCTGAAGAGAAGGCTGAGTTTCGGACATCAGATAATGAGTTTCGTGAGTTGAATGATTTGTTTACTGAATTTTGGTAATCGCTTGATGATTGACTGTTTCGGATATCAGAGACTGATTTGCTGACTGAGTTTGAATTGAAAGCATTGTTGATTGATGATCGTGAGTCTCGGACATCAGATGATGAGAAAGCATTGTTTACTGAATTGGCGACATTGCTTGATCGACTAACAGAGTTTGAGTTGGCGATGTTACTTGAGGCTTGATTGTTAACATATGAAGCGGCATTTCGGATGTCACTTGATCGGGCAACATTGTTTGATGAATAAGCATTGTTGACTGAGTTAGCGAAATTGCTTGATGAGGCTTGGTTGTTGATCGAGCTTCGGACATCAGATGATTTGGCAATGTTACTGTTGTAAGCTTGATTGTTGACTGATCGGATATCTGACGATTTTTGGACGTTACTGTTGTAGGCTTGGTTGTTGACTGAGTTTTGGACATTGCTGGTGTTAGCGATGTTGGATGATGAAGCTTGGTTGTTTACTGATGATCGGACGTCTGAGGATTTTTGGACATTGTTGCTGTAAGCTTGGTTGTTGACTGATTTGTTGACATTGCTTGAGTTGGCGATGTTAACGTTTGATGATTGGTTGTTAACTGATGATCGGACATCTGAGGATTTTTGAACGTTATTGTTGTAGGCTTGGTTGTTGACTGAATTTTGGACATTGCTTGATCGGGCGACATTGCTGGTGTTAGCGATGTTGGATGATGAAGCTTGATTGTTGATTGATGATCGGAGGTCTGAGGATTTTTGAACGTTACTATTGTAGGCTTGGTTGTTGACTGAGTTTTGGACATTGCTTGATCGTTGGACGTTGTTGCTGTTGGCTACGTTTGATGATGAAGCTTGGTTGTTAACTGATGATCGGACATCGGATACCTTTGAGACATTGTTGCTGTAAGCTTGGTTGTTGACTGATTTGTTGACGTTAACATTTGATGATTGGTTGTTGACTGATGATCGTACGTCAGATGATTTTTGGACATTGTTGTTAACAGCTGAGTTTGAAACTGAGTTTTGGACATTGCTTGATCGGAGACGTTGTTGGTGTTAGCGACATTTGATGATGAAGCTTGGTTGTTGACTGATGATCGGACATCGGAGACCTTGGAAACGTTGTTGTTGTAAACTTGGTTGTTGCTTGATCGTTGGACGTTGTTACTGTTGGCAACGTTCAATGATGAAGCTTGGTTATTGATTGAAGATCGGACATCAGATGATTTTTGGACATTGTTGACTGAGGATTGAACGTTGCTCTTGGCGACATTGTTTGAGAAAGCTGAGTTGTTGATAGCAGATCGGACATCAGATGATTTGTTGATGTTTACGGATGAAGCTTGGTTGTTAACTGAGTTGTTGACGTTGCTTGATCGTTGGACATTGTTGGTGCTAGCGACATTTGATGATGAGGCTTGGTTGTTGACTGATGATCGGAAATCATTTACCTTGGCAACTTTGTTGCTGTAAGATTGGTTGTTGACTGAGTTTTGGACATTGCTTGATCGGGCGACATTGCTGGTGTTAGCGATGTTGGATGATGAAGCTTGATTGTTGACTGATGATCGGACATCGGAGACCTTTGAGACATTGTTACTGTAAGCTTGGTTGTTGACGGAGTTGTTGACATTGCTTGATCGTTGGACGTTGCTTGAGTTGGCGACGTTTGATGATGAAGCTTGATTGTTAACTGATGATCGGACATCTGAGGATTTTTGAACGTTATTGTTGTAGGCTTGGTTGTTGACTGATTTTTGGACATTGCTTGATCGGGAGACGTTGTTGGTGTTAGCGACATTTGATGATGAGGCTTGGTTGTTGACTGAAGATCGAACATCAGATGATCGTGAAACGTGATTGTTTGATGATTGATTGTTTACGGAATTGTGGACGTTGTTTGATCGGTGAACGTTGTTGGTGTTAGCGACATTTGAAGATGAGGCTTGGTTGTTAACTGATGATCGGACATCTGAGACCTTTGAAACGTTGTTGCTGTAATCTTGGTTGTTGACTGAGTTTTGGACATTGTTGCTGTTAGCGATGTTGATGATGAAGCTTGGTTGTTTACTGATGATCGGACGTCTGATGATTTTTGGACATTGTTGTTGTAAACTTGGTTGTTTACAGATTTTTGGACATTGCTTGATCGTTGGACGTTGTTGCTGTTGGCTACGTTTGATGATGAAGCTGAGTTATTGATTGAAGATCGGACATCAGATGATTTGTGAACGTTGTTTACTGAGTTTTGGACATTGTTTGATCGTGAAACGTTGTTGGTGTTAGCGACATTTGATGATGAAGCTTGGTTGTTGACTGATGATCGGACATCTGAGGATTTGTGGACATTGTTTGATGAAACATTGTTGCTGTTTGATCGTTGGACATTGTTACTGTTGTTAACTGAAGATCGAACATCAGATGATCGTGAAACGTGATTGTTTGATGATTGGTTGTTTACGGAATTGTGGACATTGTTTGATCGGTGAACGTTGTTGGTGTTAGCGACATTTGAAGATGAGGCTTGTTGTTAACTGATGATCGGACATCTGAGACCTTTGAAACGTTGTTGCTGTAATCTTGGTTGTTGACTGAGTTTTGGACATTGTTGCTGTTAGCGATGTTGGATGATGAAGCTTGGTTGTTTACTGATGATCGGACGTCTGATGATTTTTGGACATTGTTGTTGTAAACTTGGTTGTTTACAGATTTTTGGACATTGCTTGATCGTTGGACGTTGTTGCTGTTGGCTACGTTTGATGATGAAGCTGAGTTATTGATTGAAGATCGGACATCAGATGATTTGTGAACGTTGTTTACTGAGTTTTGGACATTGTTTGATCGTGAAACGTTGTTGGTGTTAGCGACATTTGATGATGAAGCTTGGTTGTTGACTGATGATCGGACATCTGAGGATTTGTGGACATTGTTTGATGAAACATTGTTGCTGTTTGATCGTTGGACATTGTTACTGTTGTTAACTGAAGATCGAACATCAGATGATCGTGAAACGTGATTGTTTGATGATTGGTTGTTTACGGAATTGTGGACATTGTTTGATCGGTGAACGTTGTTGGTGTTAGCGACATTTGAAGATGAGGCTTGGTTGTTAACTGATGATCGGACATCTGAGACCTTTGAAACGTTGTTAATATTGTTAACTGAGCTATTTTTTGAGACTGATGATGATGATTTGTTGATATCAACTTGGTTTTCGACATTGTTTACATTGTTAACGTGGTTGATTCGGTTAATTCGGTTGATTCTGTTAACTACATTGTTGACATTGTTGACTGAATCGTATTGGTTGTCCAAGTTGTATGATCGTCGGTTGTAGTTTCGTGAATCATTTGATGAAACATTTTCTTCGTTTGAGCTGTGTGATCGGGCAAATCGTCGGTTGTTTTCTGATCGGTTGTTGTTTTCGTATGAAGATGATCGTCGGTTATCATTTCGGTCGAAACTTGATCGTCGTGAGTCTGAGTTATTTGAGACAGATGATGATCGGGTGTTTGATGAGTCTGAACTTGAAGCAGATCGAGATGAGTCTGATCGTCGGGAGTTGAAGTTTGATCGTCGTGAACCTCGGAATCGTCGTCGGTATTCTTCTTCTTCATCTTCATCATCAGAAGCGGCAGATAATCGAGCACCAACTCGGCCTAATGAATTTCGAGCAAATCGACCCCATCGGTTGTGTGGTCCATTACCTCCTCCAACAACAATAACAACAACTTTATCATCACAACCAATGGCTGGTCCACAGGGTCCAGGGTGTCCATGAGGTCCTCGGGGTGGGGCAAGTGATAAATCGTCTTCTTCTTCTTCTTCTGAAACGGCAACAGCGGTTGATGAAGCTGAAGATGAATCTTTGACTGCTGATGAAGATCCAGAGTTTGATGATGAAACGGTTGAAGAAGATGATGAAGAATCTGAGCCAGAGTTAGTAATTCCTCCAACGGGGATCAAGGGAAGGGAGATAAAGGGTCTTGGAGATCCTGATGAGCCTGATGAGGAAGAGGAAGATGAAGATTGGCTTGAAGATGAACCAGAGGAACCAGAGGAACCAGAGATGACGGGAGCGACTGAAGAGACTGACAAGAGGGATGATGACCCTTTTTGTTGTCCAGATGAACCACCGACACTCAAAAGTGAGGAACCAGAACCAGAACCAGATGAAGATGATTGACTGTATGAGACAACAGGTGAGCCATTAACTGATGATCGGTATTCAGAGGTGACAACCTTTTCACCATTGGGTCCGAGGTTTGATGAACTTGATTCAAATTTGTGTGAAGATGAGGAAGATGAGGTTTGTCCAGGAACGATGTAACCATGAAGGGAACCCACCGAGGCGAGTAAAACGATTGTAATAACTAAATTGTTCATCTTTATTTTTTTCTTTCGATAATTAACTTTGTTATATTTTCGAGAGTTAATTTGACTTTTTTTTTCTTCACCCACTTAATTCAATTGTATTAATCGAATGTCAATGTGAATCTGATCTTTGGAATACCAGAGATTCACCTTATATACCAAATAGAAATTGACATTGGTCATTAATCATCGACAATCAGCCTGCTAATTGTGATCAACAATTAGCGATCAGCTGCAACAATTAAAAACTATGTTACTCTATTTACGTAAATATGTATACATTATTTTTCTTTGTTTTTCTTTTGATTTTCACAATCCTAATCATCTTTGATCATTCTGCTAATTGTGATTAATTATTTTGTTATCCTATTTAGTGACTTACGATTGATTTGATCGCCAAAACAATCAGTTAATTAATTATTTTCTGACTATCCTATTAAATCAAAATTCATTATTTACCTGAGTTAATTGTTATGTACATTTAAATGTCTACGTTTGCCTTTTAATTGTAGATGATAATTTAGTAAACAATATATAAATATACAAGGTTAACAATTAGATTAATTGTTAACCCATTGATTTAAGTAATTAATCAATTACAATTTGCGTCAATTTGGTAAAATTATTATTATTATATTGCAATCAAATTGTACGACATCATAATCAGTGTTATTTAATTATGATTATAATTGTAAAAAAAAATCACTTTTAATTAATTAAATTTGTTTATTAAATTTTCGTATTTTTTTTCTTGGTTATCATTTTAATGTCTTTAAACTTTGTAACAATTAAAATAAATTGTTACGATCAAAGTTGTTACACTTTTGTTACTCAAACTTTTATGATCAATTTTGTATTATTAACAATCTAATTGTTGACATTTTTCATTTAACACTTTCACAATTAAATTAATGCTCCTTTATTTGATTGTATTATTGAAGGTGAATTAAATTGTTACGATTTAGTTAATAGTGAAAAAGCAAATCATCATCAAGCCAAACCCAAATTGGCAATTTAAAATATCCAAGGTTTGTTATTATTGAAGCAGAAACAAAAAGTAATTAGATTTAATAAAAATTATGGTGATTAAATTGATCACTAATTATCTATGATTAACTAAATCAGATTAATAATTAAACAAAAGACTTAACAACAATTAAAAAGTCTTTCAATCAATTTAGACTCACGATTAAATCGTCAAGTGAAAAAGGTTCAAGTTGAAAGGAAAAAACTTAAAACAACAACAACAACAATTAACTAATTCACTTGCTAATATACATAAACAACCTTGTCTCCAATAGATTGATGATTAATTTAATCATCTTACTCATTTAATTGTTATGATTAAATTAAATTACAAGTTTATTATTTTCATGTATTATAAATGCGAAGGTGTTTCCATTCACTTAAATTTGATTCTTCTTCTTGTCCTTTACCTTAATTTGATTAACGTAACAATTTAAGAATCATTTTTTTCTTACAATCAGATTAAGCTAATTGTAATTAACAAGTGAGTTAATCAGTCTCTTGAAGAGGCTTCTTTGCCAAAGATAAATTGTCAACAAAAAGCTGACAGTCAATTGTTTTTATGCTTGGAGATCACAATTGATCATTGTGATCCCAATTAACTGATTGTTGCTGTTTAACTGATTAACTTTTTTTTTCTTTATCATCACAATTATTAATATGTATTTATGATTGTTGATCGGAATGGTGATGCCCTTTAAATACAATCTAATTAACAATCAAAAGTATACACACACTCTATGGGTTAACGATTAGTGTTGATTGTTGATTAAAAAACCAAACAATTAGGAAACTCTTTCGATACTTTCTAATTGGTTTGTCAATTTGATTTTTAATTAAAAGGTAAAATGTTTAGACAATAATAAAATAGCACGAAAAGTTAATTACTAGTTAATAGTAATGATTAAGTAACAATTTAAATTAACCAATAACAATGAGAGTGATTTAGTTTTGAAAGGGTTTTAATTCAATGTCTTATGAACCATGAAAGTAACGAAGTGATTGCTTAATCAATTTAAATTGTTGTCAATTTAGTTTAACCTACCAAACAATTAGTGTTGCTCATTGTGACATATATAAAATTTTTAAATCATAATCATGATTAATTTCTGACAATTGAAAGGATTGATTCATTTCCATTGATTTCCATTGATAAAAAACATTTCCGATTAATTTGATTCCAGTTTTCAGTTTTGATTGTTGATGATTCTCATTTCAATTCATTAATTATAACGTTGATTCCCAACGATGATGATGATGATTATTATTTATTGATGACCCTTGGTGATTTTCACTATTTATCATCTCTCTCTCTCTCACTCATTCAGGAAGGAAGGAAAATTATGTTTAATTATAATTAGTAAAAAGGTAAACCCTTTGAGGCTTCAATGTCTTTTCACCTGAATTTAGTTAATCAACCAAATCAAGTTACTATCGAGAAATAGTTTCATCATCATCTTCATTTCCGTATCACGTGATAATCAGTTAATTTCTGTATCATTTTAATTGTTCCCAAGTCCATTTTCAACAATTATCATTAGTTAATTGTATCAAACGATTAGAACCATTGGTTTTCCCTTTTTCTTTAATTACTTTTCCTTTCCATTGATCATTTTTTTGCATCCAATCAATTTAGTCCTTTTTAATTGTGATTTAATAATGATGATGATTCATTTTGTTTTCCTGGTTTTTGCTTAATTGTAACAATTAAAATGATAACAATTTACACTTTAATCGTTGGGATTTACATTTGACAACAAAAAAAAAGGTTAACGTATCATTTGATTACAATGATTACAACTAATCAACAAATCAGTTAATCAAGTGAATCAAAAAAGCTTCAGGTTATTAAAACTAATCATTGAATGTTAATTATTGTTAACCCAATGAAAAATTATTAACATTCAAAATGTGTATTGATTTAACAATTTACCTTTCGAAAGTAAAAACTACAATTTAATTCGTAATCAATTTAGTTCATTTATTGTTGATTTATAATATCAATGAATTCAACTTATTTTCATGGGAGATAATTGATTATTTCAAATTACTATTTTGAAATATATCTCGTCACTATTTCTAACAAGTAAATGATAATATTAATCATTTAATTAATGGTAAAGAGAAAATAATAACAAGTGATTGATTAATTGTCATTGAAGTTATAAAAGCAGAAACACACAAAACAATAACGGTAAATAGTATAACTGTAAAATCCAATGAATCTTTGTAATCAATTGTTAAATTGTTCATACGATGTAACCTAATAATCATTGAAACCAATAGATTATGTTAATTGTGATTAAGCTTCAGATTGTTGTTCATACTTGTATTTGGAATATTGTTCAGTATTGGCTTGTAGTTAATCATTTTCTCTCTCGATGGTGTTTGGTGGTTAATCATGATTATGAATGATTCCATCCACGTAATAGCACTTAACAGTCGACGTGCTCTGGAAGGAAGGAAATATAATTTTTCTGATCAAATAGAATTTAGATCAAAATGAAAAAATGATGATGAGAAAAAAGTAAAACAAATGAGTCTAGTTGATAACATTTTCTGCTCTTTGATTATCCATTTAACTCAATGTGAACGTTGGTTTGTCCTTAATCTAAATTAACAATGAGAAGATGAAGATAAAGATGAATTACTTTCTATTTGTGATAATCTCTCGTATCCTCAGTAATTGTGTCTGTGTCTTGATCCATGTAAACCTTGACCTCTAAATGGAAACAATCAACAAAACTGTGTTTTTCCTGCGGATTTAATTGTTTGGTATTAGTTTTCCAATAATTTAAAGTCTTGAAAGGTCGATATCATCTCGAGATCATTTTATCATCATAAAGATGCTTAACATCACCATTCAAATGCCATCATAACAAGCGACAGGTCATACGCAGAGAAAAAGGTCACACTTTGACATCTTGAGGGAAATTGTTTTACTCTCTCTCTCTTTCTTTCTTGTTTTTGATCACATGTTTGGCCTTTTCCCTCTTCATTCTCCCTCAGTCCATTATCTTTTTCCCCCCAAAATTATGTTGAACTCTCTCCTTTTTCCTTCCCGAGATGTTTTCCATTGACTCTCCTCTTTTTCCCCTCCGCATGAGGTCACAATAAACAAGAAGCACGTTACAGACGTTGACTATCGGTAGGCCACGAGGCTTAAATGTGAATGTCAGAGGTGGTGGAAAGAAAGAGGATGAAAAGAGAGGGAGAGTGAATGATGATATGGAGGAAACGGCGGGAGCACGGGCTCTTCTCTTTCTTTTCAATTGGTTTAAAATTGGCCTGGATTGAGTCGTGTAAAGTGAGAGAGAGAGAGAGAGAGAGAGAGAGAGAGAGAGAGAGAGAGAGAGAGAGAGAGAGAGGAGAGATGGAGTGAGAAACCGGGAGATAAAGAGAGGGAAAGATTGAAAGGGAGGGAAAGGGAGATGGAGAGGGAGAACGAGAGAGGGAAAATAGTAAATCTTTTTAAAGATGAATGAGAATCTCGTGTGTGTCTTTAAAGAAGTAGCTTTTAAAACTCCTCGTTGTTGTTGTTATTTGACATCCGTTGAATCCTGAGGTCAAAATGTAACGTTTACACCTTGCTAGTTGAACTTCTAACAGAGATCACGTTTTATCCTCTTCCCTCTTCCCTTTTCCCTCTCCACTTTCTTTGTCTCTTCCCTCTCTTTTAACATTTATTTCTCTGTACCTTAATCTTATTCATCTCTCTCTCTCCTCCTCCTCCCTCTTTTCTTTACATTTCTGGTATAGAATTTTCCTTCCACTCATATCTTTGCTCTCTTTTTCTCTCCCTGCAAATGCATAGTGAAAGAGCATATTATCACCTTTCCTATTTGGTCCAGAGAGAGAGAGAGAGAGAGAGAGAGAGTTACTTTTTCATTATTCGACACACCAATATTTTAGGAAGAAAATTAGAGAGAAAAAGATGAAGTTATTAGAAGCGAAAGGTGTAGAAAACTTTTCCTTGTTGATCCTTTTACTTGTTTTCTTGTTACTTTGCTTGAGCCCAAATTGATTCGTAAAACTTTTGCTGATCAAGTTCGTAAATAATAAAGACAACTTCAGTGACCCGGATGAAAGTGAAATGGAGGAAGACGGCAAAAGAGAGAGATAGAAAGAGAGAGAGAGAGCGCAGGGGAGATGAAACCTGAAGAAAGAAAATAAAGATAAGTTAACAAGAAAAAAAAAGAAAATTAAGGTGAAAAGTATAAGAAAAAAGATGAAAAAAGAGACAGAAGAAAAGAAAGAAACTTTACGGTTTGTGCCAATTCTTTTGAAGAACTTATAATTCTACCCGGTACTGGTTACCTTCTTTTCTTGTTTTACTTTGTTCGTTTACTTTTCTCTCTCTCTCTCTCCATCTTGTAAAACCTTTCGATTTTAACAACAAGAATAACAACAACAATTCTAATCACTTATTGAGGTCATTTTCATATTTTGTGACCACTGTTGTACTTTTCTTGCTGTTTAACTTGATGATGTTGATGATGCGATGATAGCAGGATCAATAGACATTATTTGATTGTAATTGAACAATAACAAGGTATTGTGGTAGAAAATGAGTAAAAACAAAACCAAAAGCCCCAATAAAACAGCAAGTGAACAGTTTGTGGTGGGGTGAAGATAAACACTTAAGTGAAACAAATATCATTACGATTCAATTGAAATCGTTTTCTGATATCATTAAACTGGTATCATGGTGAATTGCACTTAATAGGTAAGAGTTTTTTTGTTTTCTCCTCCATTTCTTCATGTCTCAATGTAAGTGTGTATGTGTGTGGGTAATTTTGGTGAGAAATCCGTTACAGTTTAACACAATTAACTTGTATCAAAATCTGTTCACTTGTTGACTTGATTTTCCTTGATCAATTGGATATAATTTTCAATCTGAATCCTTTTTTTTTCGTCAGGATTATTTTTCTTCAACAGGAGAAATGTATCAAAATCGTTATACCATCAACAGCTGATCCACAATTGAATTGAAATGTTAAAGAGTAAATTTGTTTGAATATTGAAACTTAATTTCCTTTCCATTGGTAACAAAGCTTTTGTTGTTGTTGTTGTTGTTGTTGTTATTTCAACAACTGTTGATATTGTATCAATTTCAATCAAATATTTGAATCCATTGAATTTACTTTAAATTGTAAGTTGTTTACCAATTGTAACTTAAGACATTTCTGTATATCAAATATACATCACTCTTATCACTATCCAGAGATATTTGTTTTGATTGGATTCTCTTGATTTTATCCTCTTCTTCATCATTTGTTTCCCTCTTGATTCGTTTGTTTATCAAATGTTTAACTTGATTGCTTGTTGATTCTCTCAAACTCTATACATGTATCTCTCTGTCTATGTAATCAAATAAGTGTTAGGTAATATGGTTACACGCCAAATCCAAAGTGTCTTAATTTGTCTTCATAAATACACATTTTAGGGAAATTATTGAATTCCAAGGAGAACACACAACTAGAAGAGAAATAAGAACAAAAACAAGGAGAATAAAACAATTATATAATAGAAAAACGTGCCAATCAATGTGAGAGAGAATCAAATTGTTGAATTAATTACCTTTCGGAAGCTATAAGAGAAAAGAAAAACAAAACAAAATCTCATATTCTCACAAAGATTGGTCCAAGAGCTTTTTGCATTTCGATTGATGGATTGATCACTTTAAATATTAGAATTCAAGTTTTAAACAATTTAATTGGGGAAAAAATTAGCTAATGATTAATAAAGAAAAGTGTAAACAATTAAATCTCTTCCATTGACCGCCAACATTTATTATCTAATTAAAAATATCGATATCGGGATTGACTCTCTGGATCGGATTAATAATTTTCTTTTTTTCTTTTTGTTGACAATTAGTTTAATTAATTGTCTCTTTGTTTTGATTAATTAAAATGAAGACTGTGATTAATTAAAAGGTACTGAGTTGGTTTAAAAGTGAATTCTTTTAACTTTCTCATGGTTTTGTCGTTTTTTGATCATCTTACTTCTTGGATTATTGAGTTTTGGTTGATTGTTTTTGGTCAATATTTTGATAGTCAATTTGGTGGTTTGTCCTTAAATTGGATTAGATTTGAATTCTAATTTTCTAATCAATTTCTGTCATCAAATGGATTGAATAGAGAAGGTCAATTCCTGAGATAAGATGAGATTTTCTTTCTTTGTTATAGGAAATTTTATAACCGAAAAAGAAACAATAACATGGACTTGTTATCTTTCCAAGAGTAGTGGTGGTTTTAACGTCTAATTTAAGGAGCTGTTAATTGTGTTAAAATTTACCTGTTGGAATTTGATAAATTGTTCTTTTGTCGTAAAACAATGCGAAAGGTAACCTAATGATAACAAATGTTCAAACAAGATAATATGTTGGCTATTTTAATGGTCGGTGTAACATTGAAGAAAAGAGGAAAATCCATTAAAAGGTAAAACGTTAATTATGCATCAATACTCATTAACCTTGTGATTTAATTCGCTTGATTGTCCAAACACTTGAACAATTTATTTTGTAAACAAGATACACTGATTATCACAATTAACCATTCATTCTATTATTGTGTCAACCATTTTGATTTCCTATCTTTTATCTTTTATCCTCAAAGTAGCGTCACAATGGACAAGGAACCCAAATCCATAAATGGAAAACAAGAAGACCAAATAGGAAAAGAAGAGAAAATTTACCTTAGGAAATATGAGCAACTAGTGCCATCTTATTTTCACTTCGGACAATCAGTGTAAACAAAAGTGACCATTTTAAAATTTAATTTCCATTCTAAAGGGTAGAAGAAAGTGAAAGGGTAACATTGATTAACTCTAATTGTTGGCTCGTTGCTACAATTTACTCTCACTTGACAACTTGTCAGAAAGGAAAAACTTTTCCTTCTCAACAGGTAAAACTTTTATCTTTTTCTCTCTTTTCTGATCATTGTCTTGATAATTTCATGTAATTTAAGATTGAAATTTGTTTATTATTATTTTAATTCACTATTAATTTTAATTCCTTCCACTTTACAGTGATAACCTGTTTACAAGCTCGGTTGATTTTAATGTGAAAAAAAAGCTGAAATATACAAATTGAGTCACAATCAGATATTCATTCAGAAGTCATCGTGTCGACGAAATGATCTTTAGACGATTCACCCTGAGGATCATGCTCAAGGTTCTGTTTTCAAGTGAATTTCAAATATATTTAGTTTTACATGTTCTTTTCCTACCTGATGAATACACACACACATACACATATAAGTGTGAATACTTTTTTCTTGAATCTCTCGCTCACTAATTCCTCTTACATGATGAATATACACCAAAAGTGAGCGAGTGTAAGTACGCTTAGAAAATGAGTATATATACATGTACATGTTTAATAAGATAGATGATAGTGAATAATTGAGTCGTTGTTTTGCAACAATTAAATGACCTTTCGACCCAATTCTCATCTTTCGATGGAATAGCGTTTGTCTCTTTTTCGTTGATTTTTACTTTTCTTCATTTTCTACTATAAGAAAACAAAAAATACAAAATATTTAAGAAAAAAAAATCTCTATTCTTATTATTACTTTATGCATATTATCATTTTCTCATTATGATTATCAAACTATTATCATTATCACTTTGATTCTGTTTCTTACCTTTTCTTATTATTATTATTGTTGTTGTTTTTTGTTATGCTTTGCAAATCAATTGAAGTTTGCCGAAGGAACCATTTTCAAGGAGGAGAGTGTGTGTGTGTGTGAGAGAGAGAGACAGGGAGAGGGTGGAGAGTGAGAGGAGGTGGAAAAATATTGAAAAAGAAAACGCAAATTACTGGATCAACATCAACAATTATTGAAATTATAATTCAATCAAAGATGGAGATATGTTTATATTGTATATGTATGGAAAAATCTGGTCCAAGGTAATACCAATCATTTAATAATCTTAATTGAATAGTTTATCATATATTATTAATCAATGATCATTGATAATTATTTACTCACTTTTTTTGCTGATTCCTCTCCCTCTCTCTCTCCCCTGGATCTCTCACCATGATAAATAACATTGGGAACAAATAATAATAATCAATTTGAAATGTAATTTTGTTTCTCTCTCTCTCTCTCTAGATGATTGTTGATTTTATTTACATCTCTTTAAATTGCTGTTCACAATCAATCAGATGATTATCATCAACTTAATTTTCAGCTTATCAAAGCTTGTCAAGTGTAAGCTTGAAAACGGTCAGGGTTAGAGAGAGAGAGAGAGAGAGAAGGAGAGTTGTATCTATTTCATATGAGAAAAAATCTAATTGTAATCAAGTTGAATTGTTAATCTTATATTCTAATGTATTTATGATTGATCAACTTGTCGAAAAGTTTCCAACAATCAATTGATTGACAATGTTTTTTTTTTTGCTCCATTTTTACCTTAGATCTTTGCATGATTATCTTACAACAATTAACTCTCTCCTTTAATATCTCTTGATTTCAGGTTTTATTTTGTCTCTCAACAATTAACTGATTCACTTACTGTTCCTTATCATTGGGTACAATTTACCGTTACATTTTCATCTTCCGATTAGTTTATATCTCTGGTCATCATTGATAATTAGTCTCATCTATGCTCTAATTACAGAATATATTATCAAGATGAGGGATTAATTGTAAAGAAAATGAAGAGAAATTATATCAACAATTAACCTTGACTTTTACTTTTACCTGTATTACCTGGTCAATGAGGAAAAATAATACAACAATTTACTTAATTGTACTGAAAAGTTAAAAGGATAAGCGATGATGATATAAAACACAATCTCTTTCATCATCATTTCTTATGATTATTGTTAAAATTGATTACCTTTCAATCAAAAGTGATTTTTTTCTGATTAGGTTAACAATTTACCTTCTTAACGATCAAAATCATTAAACTTATCAAGTTGAACTTGCTACAATCAGTAAATTGCTTGAATCTTATTGAGCTTTTAAGAGATTGGAAAGTTAAACAATTAACCGATGCTGATCAATGTAATTATATTAATGTCAACAACGTATCACTATTGTAATAATAATACAATCAAATTAAAAAAAATTGTTCTGATCAGTTGATTGTTGCAGAGAAATTACAAAAAAAAAGTTAGTTAACAATTTGTTTCCATTACCTGGTGGGTTAGAATTGAGAAAATTAACTCAACAATTAATACTTAATTAGTTAGGTGATGAAAGAGATCACAATCAAATGAAATTGAGAGTAATTATATTTAATTACAATCAGTGAAAGTTTACAATTACTTTTTTTCATTTTGATTGTTTAATAATCAAATTAACTAGTTATCGTTAACTGTTATCATTATAATTTAGTTTCATTGTCATTTATCAATTTAAACAAGTTTAATTTTTGATTGTTGTCTTCATGTAGATGTTTTTTTTTAAATTGTTGTATAATTGTGGTAACAATTAACTACAATTGTCACTGTTTTAACCCAGTTGATTGTGATAAACATTTTCCATTCCTCTTTAATTGTAATTTTGTTTAATTCAGATCCGTTTATATTATTTTAATTTAGTTTGTACTAAATTGTGATGATAATTATGTTAATTGATTAACTTTTACTAGAAATTAATTCATCTATTATTCATTAGGAAACAATTTATTAATAGTTACCTTTTTTGTTTTGTTTTCAATTGTAACAATCAATTAGATCAACTAATTGGTATTAATGATTGCAATTGAATTAATCAATGAAGTTAATTGTGATTATATGTAAACAAAAACATTAATTAATTGTGTATTTGATTAACCTAAAAATCAAGGGGAAAAAAGTGAATCAAAAACAGTATTTCAATAATTAATTAATGATTCAAAGTAAATCAACAGTTTACAATTAACATTTGAGGTCAAGATTTTTGTCTGATTGTTGATTAGTTGATTTAACAATTAAATCCATGGTCAGTTAATTAGTATGATAATAATCATCTAAAAATATTATCCGATTAACTAAATAATTATTATCATTTTCCAAATGATCAGCAATTAATAAATTGTCGCAATGAAAAAGTAATTTTTACCACAATTAGTTTTAATTATCAACTACTGATCAACTTACACCAATTGAAATGTGAATGAAAGTTAATCATTTGTTTCTGGTTATTAAAATTACTTGATTGTTACTTTTAATCAGAACTGGTTTAACTTTGATTATCAGCACGTTGACTGATTAAAAAAATGTTTCATTTAATTGTATGTTAATATTAGTTGATTGTTGGGGAAATGATAATTTTTTTTTTGGTTACCAAAAAGTTTATTCAACTTAACCAATTAAAATGATTCACAATCAATATCAACAATTATGATTTGAAGGAGGAAGACAAAAATGATTAAGATGATTAAGATGAAGATGAAGATGATGATGAATACCCTTCAGGGGGTATGATGAAAAGTAAGAGAAGACAAATCAACTGAAGCAAAATGTCATCATCCTTAATCATTGAACAACTTTTTCCTTTCATCATATCAACCAACTTAACAATTAACTGATTGTCTTGTTTTTTTTTCATCTCATGTTGATTGTTTATCTTACTATTTTTTTGTATCTAGATTATTATTACTATTATCATGATTAATTCATCATTTACTTGAACATTAAGATTTACCGTTATATTAATTGTTTGGAATGTGTTGATTTTCAATTAAGTTTGAAATGTTTTTTTATCGGTTAAGCGTATCAACAATTAACTATTCAAAGTATTGTTGATTTAGCTTGATGATGATTATTTAACGTGCGTTTGTTATTAGGTAAACTTGAAATTAATTGTCCCATCGAAAGGTAAATTGTTTTAGTGAGAAGCAAGAAAAAAAAAACAACTCACCAATTAGTTAATTGTTTCAACAATTGTTTATCTAAATTTATTTCTCAATTTCTATTCATTGATTGTTAAGATTGTAAATAAGACAATTAGTCTTTGTTTTCTGTACAGATTTCATATAATATACAAAAAAAATATACACACATACAAATTGTTAACAATGTTTGATTAAACAATTAATTCATTTGTATGGAAATTAAATTAATTGATCAATTTCATTTTCTGCTGGATCAATATCTTTATAATTGTTGATGATTGTTGTTGTCGGTGGTGATGATGATGTTGATGGTTTTATATTAATAGTTGATTCAGTCGAGTTGATTAGTTGATTTTGGTTAATTGTTTCACTCGTTTTATTAGAAGTTAATTTACTTGTTATTCTAATATCAGCACAAGCTCTGAATGTTTCATTTTCCATGTCGGTAGTTCCCTGATTACCACAGGTATAATCCCACTGGAGGACACATCGAGAACAGGTAAGGTTGACCGGAAGTACGAGGGTCAAATTATAAAGATTAGGACCTTGATTACCAAGATGATATTTGTACCGTTTTTCCAATGTTGATGAGTTAATTATAATTTCTAATGGATGTTGATTTAAACACTCTTGGGTTACCTCAATTTCATCTGATTGACTTGGACACAATCGGAATACAAAGTAACCCTTATGGGCAGCGGTCAAGTTAACTGTTACATTTATCCAATCACCTTGACCATAATCTCCGGTCAAGGTGGGAGGTTTGGTTACCCATTTACCTGATGGCACTTCACTGGTACGTGTACCATTATATGGATCACCACAAACCCCACACCTCCCGTTGTTAGCGCGTTTAACTGTCAACCCTCCGCACCACATTTCCATGTCATTGTAGTTAATTGGTGTCTTATAGCCGACCCGCCAAGCTGATGGTCTACCCGCCGGGCTGATTAGATATCCATGAGTGGAAACATAATGATCACTAATTAGACAGGAAGAGACAATGATCACAATTATTGTTAACAATTTAAACATTTCCATAACTTTTTTTTTCTTCCTCTTGTTGATTAACAAACAAACTAATCACTTTACCAAATTTACTTATTTAATAACAAAGTTAAATTACTGTTTAATTGCTTCAAAGTTAATTTGCTTTTCTATCTAACCATTGGGTTTACTTGTTAACAATTAAATCAATTTCCATTTTTCTTCATCATTTTCTTCATCAATTATTTACTATCATTAATCAATAACCTTATGTGAAAACATGATCATTGATTTAATACAATTAATATTAAGGCCTAACAATCAACAAAATTGAATTTACGTTGAGATGAACTTGCAATTATTTAAATTGTTGTTGTTGATTGTTGATCAGCTATTATTAGTTTTGTTGGTTGTTTATTTGTTTACAATTAACTTGGGATTTGATTGATTAATCAATATCTTAACCTTGATTGGTTAATCAAAATTGGTGGACTTTTTTTTTAATTGTTTTGGTAATATCTTTAATTGTCTATTGACTAATTAATATATACAATTCGTTGATTCATTGGTTAGCAAACTAAATTAATCAAAAAGTTAATCAAAAGTCACATGTTTTCATTATAAACTTGTAACGAGATAATTATTAATATTCATTGACGTAAATTTAATTGTAGTTATTTACCTTATCTTATAACAATTAATAACAATTACAATGTTCAATTATCATGTAATTATCCGACTCTTGAGGATAAATTTAATTTCTTAATTGACTAAGTGCAAGATAATCAAATTAAATAAAACTAATACTTGATTAACTTTTTGACATTTTCATTTTAATCAGTTAATATGAAAATCCGATTACTTAATTGTTACAATTATTTAGACCAATCTATCTGAAAACTTTTGACCTTTTTATTGTGTGTATTTAAACAACAATTAAGACAATTGTATGTCAATATATTTACTCATTTAAACTAATCAATAGGGAACAATTTAAATCAATCAAATTAAATCAAATTAAATCCAAATCCAATTTGTAAACATAATAAACATTAAAAATAAAATTCAAGGTTAATTAATCTTACACTTTATATTTAAATTGTTACATCAATTATTTAACTTAACGTAATAATTAAACAATTGCTAAAGATAATTGTTAATTTTTTCGTTCCATTCGCATTTAAAGTTAATCATAATTAAGAGATTAATTGTTAATTTGAAATTGGCGCTTTTCTAATTAATGGAATCATTTTATTCCGGTTTCGTCTTGTCCAAGGTTCTTTATGTTAATTGTTGCTTTTTAATTGCTCTTTTTAATTGATATTTTAATTTTTCTCTTTCTTATCTCTAATTTACAATTTAGTTGTAACAATTATTCTGTTGATTTAATTTGTTTAGATTAATGTGACTGATAAATTGTAAACAATTAGAAAGTAAAATCATCAACAACCTTAAGTTAACCTTTTGAATGTGTTTACCTCACGTCAAGGTTTCGCTTTTTTTTCAATACATTGTCACTTTGATTTCTTTTTGACAATTGATCGATTATCATTTTTTTTTATTCATTTTATTTAATTGCAATTAGACTGTTTGTTGTTTGTCTTTCTCTTTGTCTGTCTCACTCTCGTTGTCTCTGTTTTGATCTTTTCTATGTTCTCTTCCATTATCTGAGTAAGTAGTTAACTGTATCTTACTCACTAATTTGTTGTTTCTCTTTTTTTTTCCTAATCATGTTTCGCAAATGATCATATATGAAGGTTACTCAACGGTATCATGTTTGAACCAATTGGAAACCTTGGATTGGAGATGAAGGAAGGAAGACGAAAAGGAAGAGAGTGAGTGGAGTGAGAGAAATGAAGGTAACTCACAACGTAAACGAACAGGAGAAGGAAGAAGGAAGAAAATGAAAAGACGAATAAGATGAGATGGAAAAAACAACGATATCAACACAATGGCGATCGTGAAGATAAAGTGAAAATTGGAAAACGTAGTATTTACAAAGAGATGTCTGAGGTTCCACTCATGTTCTGTCAAGTCATGTAATAATATTCACTCAGTAGAATCATTTGGGATCAATGGTATCATCATCTTCACATATGCAAGATGAATTTTATGCATATATTGCAATCATGTTAAGAAGAGAAGTGAGATCTGTGTGTGTGTGAGAGAGAGAGAGAGAGAGAGAGAGAAAAAACATCAAAAAGGTAAGAAAAGAAAGTGAATAAAGAAGCCAGATAAAAGAGAGGATCTGGCAAATCTCCATGTTACTCTATCAACTATCATGATCATTGAATTGACAAACGTTTTAACCACTGTGAGTGTCTCTCTATCTCTCTCTAAGTGAGTGAGTGTTTTACCCCTACGGTTTTAAGATTAAGTTAATTGCCTACATTTCATGGTGATGCTTCATCTGTTACCATGTTCTCTCTTTGGTCTTTTTCTTTTCATCTTTTCTCTTCTTTTTTTTCTCAAAACCCAAATATCGAGTTGATACTTTTTGCTTCTCTCTTACATGTACATTCACTTTGCAAGGTTGGTGCCTTGTAAGAGAGTAACAGAATAGTGAGATAGATACATGTTCCTCTCTCTCTCTCTCTCTCTCTCTCTCTCTCTCTCTCTCTCTCTCTCTATCTCTTTGATCAGATTGCCAATTTTTGTTTCTCTCTCTCTCTCTAATCTCATTTCTCTTGTTTCCTTATCCTGGGTTCAGTTGAGTTTTCCCTTTGCATTGAACTGAACGATACCCTTGTCTTGATGAAGGACTATCGGGATATTTTATCCTGAATTTGTATCAATCATGTTTTTTTTCTATTCTCTTGATTTTTAAACTTTTTTTTATCTCTTTTTCTCAACAGTCCAAGGGAAATGGCCATTGAAATGATGATTATTGAAAAACGTTCACAAAAAATCTCAACCGAAGGACTTGCAAAGTAAAACAACAAAACAGTTACTTAATCAATTGATGATGAAGTTCAATGATAATGGTTAATTAAACAAAAAAGCATTCGCATCGATAATCGACCTCCAAACTTGTCCACTTGACCTTTCACCATTTTCGCCTTGAGGTAAATTGATGGCAAATGATACAAGGATAACCAGTAGAACTAATGAAAGAAACTAGAGGCTATTCCAAAATAATCTTCTTATTGAAATTGGTCATTTTTCTTTTCAGTAATTATCATTATTTCTTATACTCGATGATTATTATTATGATTACTATTGAACTTAATTTCTCTCTTTCTGTTTATAACTACTTTAAAGGTATCTATTTAGCATCTATCATCCACGCCCTGGAAATGTATGTTCCCTATTCCTGAAATTTTCTGTCAAAAGGTGGATCCACTTCGTAGGAAAAAAAAAAGAAATGATGTTAATTTCAAGTAGAGAACCAGAAGAAAGAAGATGAAGAAAGAGAAAGAGAATCAATCTGATGAAATTTATTCCTGATAATTGTGGAAATGCAAAACGAGTGAATATAAGATAATATATGAAAGACAGGTCCTCATCTTCATCCTCATCTTCATCAAATTCCCTCAACCAAAGTGTAAAATTAAATGAAGAAAAAAACCTGATTTGATTTATCTAGAGATTCTGTTCAAGTTCATTCAGGTGAACTTCATGAAAACAAGATATTTATTCATCATCTGAAAGAAGCAGAATGAAGTTACACATTAATAATGTCCACTGGCCTCTTCTCTTTATGCAATTCATTTTCTTCATCTTCTTATTCATCCACAAAGCCGTAATCTCACCAGTAACAATATTTTATCTCTTTCTTCATCACCAGGTAAATATAATTTTCATGTGACAAGTCACGTGATTTGAAACTACCTTGAGATTACAAGTTTTTCTGTTATTATTATGTGAGAGATTTAAATGGGGGAGTAAACAAAAAGGAAAGATAATTGAGAGCGAGAAGAACGAGATGATGATAAACAAAGATGGAAAAAGAGAGAGAGAGAGAGAGAGGAAAATTCTGGTATTAGGAAATATCGTTCACAAAAACAAGAATAGTGGCAATGTGATCGGTATAAGAGCAGAAAGTTTATTAAATTGTGATACTTTTACAGAGGAGGATGAGAAGAGAAATGTTGATGAGTGTGATGAGATAAAATCTGAGAGGATAACATGATGAGGGATAGAAAAGTTTGACAGTTTTGTTTTCTCGTGTTCACTTGAATCAGCATGTTTACTGTTTTTGTTCTTGGTGTTTGTCAGAATTTTACTGTTGCCAGTTTCATGAAATTGAAGCCAAACATGAAGACTTTTCTCTCTTCCTCTTCTCTTTATCATCAAAGATTCAGAGACAGAGGGATAGCGAGAGAGAGAGAGGAAAAAGTTCAACGAAAATCAGTTCGATGTTTTTTTTTTCATCTAAATTAACTGATGTAAATCAACAGACTTTTAGATCCTTAAATAGGTTAGACAATTAGTTTCGCAGATATTTCACTTTCCATGATATATAAATGCTCTGAAAATCACCCAACCACCCACACTTTTTACTACTTTTCTCTATCAACAATTGACATTTTAAGGAAATCAACAAATCACAATGAATCAGCTCGTTGGTCTAATCATGATCAATAATAACCCAATTACCATCACCGATCCGAAATGTTTCCAAAGTGTCCTGTTGCTCTGATTGAATTTCTTACTCTCACCATAACTGGTTGGAATCGCGAACTACACTTAATTATTATAATCAATCAATCAGAGTAATTATTATCATGATCACAAGCACCAAGTGAATAGAGAGTGAGAGAGGAAAAAAAGTAATTGATAAAAGGTTACTAAGTAACTGAGATGGAAAAATATTTAATCGAATGTAAAATTAATGAGAAAACATTGACAAACATCATCTTGTGATCCTCAAGGATTTATCATTACAATATATTGATTGTTGAAAATTGTAAACAATCAACAAATTATTATCATCAACTGTTGATGTTTATTAGTCTTTCTGTTTACTTATTATCGTTATTGTTATTAACATGAAACCGTTTCCATCCATGGTGTTGATTCAATTTGTTTCCCCTGTTATCGGTGTAAAAAAAAAGGTTGTTTCCCATTTCTGTTTAATTTATCTGGTTTATTAGCATTTAACTATTATTATGATTAGTAAATTGTTTCAGTTTTATCTACTGATTGTCAGGTAAATAAAGGTAAAAGTAATCAGAAAGAGTTGCTACAAATCACATGAATCATGTTGATCTCTGGTGTTTATTGAAAGTCAATTCCAAGGTTTTCTCAGGCCTTTGAACTTGAAATTAAATCATGATCATGTTTATCATGTAATAGATTTTTCTTTATTTTTATTCTTATGATTAATTTAGATTTATTTTCTTCTTCTTTTAAATGTTCACTGATTTACTTGAATGATAATATTATATTATTTTCCATCAACAATCAAATAATATAATCAATTCTCTGTCTCTCTATGAGTTTATTGAAAGTTCATTGGTATTTAAACTTGAATCCAATAAACTTGAATAACTTTTGATTGTTGAAAACAATTGAAAATGTAATTAGTTGATTGTGTCTTGGTTTTTGTCTCTATTTTTTTTTATAAATATTATTTGAATCTCTTGATGTTGATAATATTGATTGTTGATTAACTTGATTGTCTTATTGTGTCTCACTTGTTTGTTTGTTTTTTTTTTGATTAACTTTTCAGTGTTTTAATTATTAATGATAATTACAACTTGATTACCTGATTAAACTTATAACTGTCAATTGTTTGCTGGCTGTTTGATCATTATTAATCAAGTTAATTGCTTCTTTAACACTAACACATTACCAAACCTTTTATTATTAATCTAATTACATTTATCTAAAACGATTGACAGTTTTACTGTTATCAAGAAAAATGATTAATTATCCATCGTCCAATTATACAATTTTCATATTCAATTCCAATGTGAATATGTAACAATTAAATCACATTGATTTTAATTTGATTTGGTTTTTAAATGGAGACAAATCAATTTTAACCAAATCAACGTGATTATTGAATATTGTATTGGATGAGAATCAATATATTGATTATCACCCTTAACAATGTGATAATTACCTTTAATTGTTAATAATAACAACAATGATGCCGATCATTTTGATGATAGTGATTAAAAATGAAGGTGAACAATTTAAATTGTTCAAGCAATTATCAAGTTTCAAATGACTTTGAGATTCTAGTTTTTTTTGATAACAACTTTTACTTTTTTGGGTTTAAGCTTAATTGGGTTTGGATTGTGATGAAGAGCCTTGATTGTGTTCACTACAATTAACATCAGCACACTAATCATAATAACACATTCTGAGCAATCAAATTAAATGAAAAAAAAAGCTACCTGGTAAACAAGGTTGTACAATTTAAATGATCTAATAGATTTCAATCAAGTACAACACAATTAATTTACCTTTTCGTATCTATTGTTAAATCTGATTAGCAATTAGATTTCTAATTTTCCCTTTCGATGACCTGATATTTACTTAATCAGTGACCATCATCAGTCAATAATTAAGAATCGCCGTTAACTCAGTTTATTCAATTTTCCGTTTTACAACTTCTATTATTATAGTAATCAGTAAATTAATCAGCCAATCCTCTCAAATAATTAGCTAATCAGTTAATTATCACTGCACACACACACACATATTATAATATAATCAACTTTGATTACAATCTAATTCAATTGAAGTGAAATAATTAGTAAACAAGATAATTGATTATTTATATTGATTATCAAAGGGGTTTGGTTGGATTTAAATCATCATCTGATCACGAGAATTAACAACAAAAAAATCACAATTAAAGAGCAATGATTTACTATTAAAGCTTAATTATCAGTTAATCATTTGATTTGATTTCGATTGGAAAATAAAATCCAATGACAATTGAAATGGTGAATTAATCAGATGATTATTTGGTTTTAAATAATGATTCACCTTGATTTTGTTTCGTAATTTGTTAATTGTTACCATCAGATAATTTAACCAAATTAAAAGTGACACTTTGTTTCAATGTTAAACAATTAGCCCGCAACAATAATATAATCATAAATTGAGTTTATCCGGTTTTAATCATTTGGGTTGATTGTTTTAAACTTTCAAGTTAAAGAGAAATGATTAACTAATTGTAAATAAATATCAATTTAATTTGATTCGTTTAAATTGTTTGTAGGGCAATTGAATCCGGACCTGGAAAACAAAATACTAAATGATAGTCAAAATTAAGCATAATTGATGATTAATGTTCAGTTAATTAACTACAATTAAACTTTGTTGTTTTCTAAAAGTTTTTTTCAAGAATTGAAAGTTTTCTCAATTTCAGTTTTCGACAATTTTTTCATCTTCTTCCTCTTTCTTTTTCTCTTTCTTTCTGGTTAATCTGAATTATTATCATCTTGAAACGATGGTTGATTATCTCTCTCTCTCTCTCTTGATTGCTGTTTATTATGATTATCATTTCGTTGTTGATTGTTGCTGTTTGTTAACTTGTTTACTGTTGATTCTGTTGATCCGTCATATTAACCGGTTTTCACCAAGGCTTCAGCTATTTTCATGAAACGATGAAACAATATTATTCAACCTTCGAAGTGGAAATAAAAACGATAATCAAAAAGTCACTTTAACATTATTATATTGGGAAGAAACCAGAATTAACCTTGATAGTTTTCACTTGAAACTATATTTTGACATTAACTTGATTGTTACAGCTTCATTTGACTCGATAATCAAATTTAATTGATTATTAATTGTCTCTCTTTCGTTATTGGTTTCCTTTTAAACTTTTTAATTCGATAACAAAAAAGTTTTTTTCTTTCGATTTTGATAATTACGAAGATTGTAATTTTCTGGATCAATTTTCATCATCGTATCATTTGATTAACTATTAGCTTTGTTAAATTAATTGTTCTCTTTCTTAATTATTAATCAAATCTGAAGGTTAATTTGTTGTTGTTTTCATTAGAATTGTTTGTTTACTATTCATTTCGCTTTCCCATTTGATCGTAATAATTTCATTTGAGAAAAAACTTCCGTTAAGATTAAATTAGAATTATATTGAATATAATCGAATTGTTTTTCTTTTTTAATCAATTCATTTAGTTGAAATGAAACTTTTTCTCATGACTAATAATTGTGACTGTTGATGATTAAAACAATTGATTTGTTGGCTTGTCTCTTGTTTGTCAAAAAGATATCACAAGTTTCATGTTGCTCAATACAGAGGTGGTTAATTATTGTTATCATTTATGGGAGACAATTTTAATGTGTTCAATTTAAACTGTCAAAATAAAACATAATTAGTAAGCATATTATACTTGCTAACTAAATATACGAATCATAATCAAGTAAATATATTAAACAAAGGCCAATTAAACAGACACAAATACACATGTACATGTACTAATGGTATTTGGTTAACAATGTTTACAATTATAAACAATTAAGATCCAATTTAATGATGAAAGGTTTCTCCATGAATTTGGGTACGTCCATTTCTGGTTCAAATTTTACATCATCAGTAGAACCAAATTGGTCAATGGGTGAACAGTAAGGGTCACCTTGATAATCATCAGGGTCTGACATTAGATTAATTGATTTGATGTTTAGGGTTTTTCCAAATCAAAACAAACCAGAAATGTTAATGTTACCAATTTTCATCGAACGTCAAATCCTCAAGACCATTGAATTCGAGTAAATTTACCTCATGGTAGAAAGGTAAAAACACAACCTAAACAAGAGAAGGTAAATCGAAATAATTTAAATTGAAAGATGGAAAGGAATCACAATTAAACCCACAATTTAATCAGAAAAACAAATTAACAAAGAAAAAAAAAACGAAAAGAAAATCATATGTTATGGAACAATAGAGACACCTAGTAGCTAATTCCAAGACTTTTCTTATTCTTTTTTTTCAAAAATCTTTAATTACCTTAGTTTGGAAAAGATTTTAATTGTTTCATTTTTCTTCCTTTTTTGGTTATAATCAACTTGTAATCATATTATAAAGTAATAACTTAATCACGTTTCACAATTGTTGATCCAATTAATAGACGTGAACTTAATATATTTAAGAATCAAGTGAATCACTTTTGTTTTACTTCAAACATATGACAAGTTAACTTGATCATAATTGTTATTTTCATCATAAAGTAAGTAATTGTTTACCTTTTAATTACCTTTTTTTGTCTATAAAGTAAATTGGACAATTACAGTAACAATATTTCATTTCTTTAATCTGGTCTCTCTCTCTCTCTCTCTTCTCTTTCAGGATTAACCTTTAAATCAACAGTCAATATCTTACCATTAGATGTATAGTAAATTCAAGAAGCTTTTTCTTGTTTCCATTTACCTGATATCAGATTTGTAACGTGATTTTATTTTCTCTCTCTCTCTCTCTCTCTCTCTCTCTCTCTCTTTCTCTTTCTTTTATAGCTTTATATCAACACCTATCATATTAACCCAATGAATGGAATATAATGTGATCATAATCATCATTTAGAAAGTAAATCACATTTCAAGTTATATCAGTTAACGTTGAAATTTTGACAAGTTCAACTATCATGATGATCGTCGTGAAGAAGGGCATTCATGTAACAGCATCAAATTGTGATGGTTATGATTATATTAATTGTAATACTTTCACATGTTGATGATGGAAAGACACACAAAATGGTGATATTGATGAAAAGGAACCAATAATGGAGAAAAAGTAAAAGCAAATTAAGCAACAAGGGAAAAGACAATCAACATATGATGATGATGAAAAAAAAGGAAGATGACAAGATTATCATTTGTATGTTAACTCAACCAGATTTTACCAGAATTAAGATGAGAATTATTATTATCAACACTTAATTCGTTTACAATTAGGAGTGTGTACTTTTTTTTCTCTATCCCAAGAGATCGTTCGACGACAATTATGGCCCTTGAAAGTTCATTTCATGGAATCTGAAAGGTAAAAATTGTTACTCTTTTTTTCTTGTCTTGTTTTTCATTTCGTTGACTGTGTGTTGGTGTCAATGAGAAAATGGAAAGTGAATGTCAATGATCCATAGACTGAGAGATGAACAGGGTAAGGAACGGACAAGGACACATATTAATATGTTATTATCTGAACAAATCTGAGAGAAAGAAAAAGCTAACATGATATCGAGATAAATGAACTGAAGCTGAACCAACTCAGTAACAGTTATATTTGTATTCTTATGATTTTTTTTTGTTTTCTTCTTATTCTTCACTCTTTCTCTCTTTTCTGAAGGAATTGACCTTTGTCCATTTCATGGTTATTCATTGGTTAATCGTCTGGTGGAACTGATGAAAGATTCCATTGATTATGTATCATGATTATCGCCATTGTTGACTGAATAACAATGGAATTGATTGTATCCCTTGTAATTGTAATAATTATTACGTCTTCTAGTGGCTCCATTTAATAACATTATCTGTATTTTCTCATTATTATTATCTCATTACTATCATGATGATTAGTTGATTATCTTTATTACTATTATTCATTAATACAGTTAATCTGTTTTTTCCCAGTCTCTCAAACTTCAATCCTGTGATTCTCAAGGTTTAATTGTTGCTGATTGAAAAAAAAAATTGTGTCTCAATTGTGTCAAAATCTGACTGTCAATGGCTGATTTACATTGGAAAATCAACTATACCAATTAATTAAATTGTTACTAAGATAAATTTTAATAACTCACCAGTCATTTGATTGTATTCTTACTAATTTAATCTATTTCTATGATTTATTAATTCTTGTTTCAAGTTCATCGTTCTGTATACGTTAATTGTTGATTTAATTTCTCTCTCTCTCTCTCTCTCTCTCTCTCTCATCTTTAATCAATGATTAATGATTAATTACGATGACGAAATTGATGACGACAGTAAATTTTATAATCGTAATATTTGTAAATAGCCAACAATTGAGTTAATTGCAGTGGGAAAGACAATGATATGTATTGGAAAATTACATTTACTTATAATCAACTGATATAAACATTGGACACGCACACACATTCACTAATTAACTTAATCTAATCAACGTGAAAACAACTAAACAATATCCAAATAATAGACAGTGAAACAATCATCTTAATCACATTTTAACAATACGATCTGATTGATATTAAAGTTAATCAGAACAACAATCAGATGAACATTTAATAATAATAATGACACCTTTTCTTCAATCCGTCTCATAATAACAATCAATTGATTGTTTTTAGCCCCAAAAACTGGTGTGTTAATTAATCATTGATAAATAACGGAGTGCAATTAATTGATTAGAAAATCATTTAATCACCAAGAGAATCAGTGAGAGGAAATTAACTGAAAAAATTAACCAGAAAAAAAAAACAAAAGGAAAAACTTTTATTTATGTCAACCAAGAAACTCACAACTCAAGTTGATTAGAAAGGGATCAAGTTAATTGATGATTAGATAATTATGTGAATACAAATGAAGAAGTTACCAGATTCTTAACAATTAACAATTAACATAACAATTACTAAATTGTTATCTTAAAGTTGATACAACTTTAAATTGCAACATGAACCCAACACGTTCACAATCGTGATATAATATCAACTATTAATACGTGATATTTTTATTTAATATAATAATTCAGTCAACAGTTTCACCTCATTATTATCACAACAATTAATATTTTTTACTTGATTGTTGGTTAACTGATTAAATATAAATAATCAAAAAGGAACCAAAAAAAAACCGGAATAAATTGTGAATTAGAAGGAAAAATTTAAAGTTTTTCTTCATGTTCAGTTTAAATTGTTTAAGTTTTTGATCAATTTTCTGGTTGATTAACTAAATACAAACTCTTATTTGATTGCTGACAGTCAATTGTAATATAACGGTTATCATTTATCTCATTAATGATTAGCTAATTGTAATTGTAATAATAACATGTTGACTTTAATCAAATTTTTTCTCATTGTTTTCGGCTAATTGTTTGTTTAATTTAATTTTTTCCTCAAGGTTTTCAGGCAAATTACAATTAAATGTTTGATTGTTCAATGTTAACCAATAGTTAGCCAAACTCTATGAAATTAACTATACAAATTAACTTTAAGTTTAAATAATCTCAATCAATTGGCCATAGGTTATTGAATTCGGTACAAATAGCGATTAAAGTTTTTACCTGATTATGTTTAATTGTTTGCTAGTAACAGATAATTGATTATGTTAATTATTTACTCTACAAATCACCTAATAGTCCCGTATTGTGGATATTTTCTTATATTTCCAGAAAAAGTCCAGCAACAGGTTTGTGATCAGATCCATTCGATTTTATTTCGAAAGGTTTCTTACATTCCATATTGTTGGAATGACAAATATAATCAATGCAGAGACCATTTCTGGTTGGAAGATCCGAATGAGGAAACAAACTGAATGTTAGTAAAATGGCCAACAAACGTCTTTCTTTCTCAGTTGTCTCCTCAACACATTTATTGAAAATGTTGCGTAAGTTGAAATCGCCCACCAAAATCATACTATCGACTGGATCTTAATGACAATGGGTATTGTCCAATCCACCGAAATAACCCCTTTCTAAGACCGAACACAGATTGGCGAAAAATGTTCGATCCAAGGCCACTGTATTATGGGATGGCTTATGAACGTTAACAACACCCAAACGGTGACCATTTTTACTGACTCCAATGGTGTATTGGATGTCACAGCGATCGGTATCGAATTGCCATACTTTCTCGAAATGGTCTTCATCGTAAATTGTCATGAGTTCGGTCATCCAAACTTTTTTGATAAAGCCAGGCACATCCTGAATCGCATTATCACGTAAAAACACTTTTCCTCTTTTGAGATGTTGGATGCGGGATACACTGAGCTCTTGAAAAGCAGCAACAATATGGCATCCCGGTTTGCGGTCATGGACACCAACAATCAATCTAGAAATGTTATCGAAAACTCTGCTACTCACTGTGGTGTTTTGACCTAAAATGAAAAAGGTCATATTTATCTAGTAAAATAAAATAAAATAGAATTTGTTAAGTTAGAAATATAATAGAACTTTAGTAGAGCTATAACAAGAACACAATGTAAACACTAGAGATTCTAAAAGAGGTGGTGTATCTAGTATTTCGGCGGTTTTTTTAAATACCTTTTCTAAAACGAATTTTGTTGAAATCTTCACATATCCCAAATTTTCTAGTAATTTTAGCCGACGGCTTGGATTCTCGACGTAGTCGGGGATCATTTTCGATGGTCCCTATAAGAAAATGTTAAGAAAGAGTTATAATGATTGAATGATATAAATGTTTGGAGGAATGAGATGTAGCCAAACCTGATTTGTTGAATTGACCTGAGGTGGCGTTCTCCGTCTCTTAGATCCTTCTTGGTTATAGGCTGGGACTTTTCGTTTCCTAGAATTGTTTATCTATTAGATTGATTCACTCAAAGTTACGGAACTTCATTTTTGATTTTTGATTTAATTAGTGGTACGATTTTTTTAATATCTATCTTAAACTAGCGAGAAGATAGTAAGAATTTTATTTTAATTAAAAAAATATTAATAAATCGAACAATTAATTAATTATTGTAAAAAAGTCGAAAAAAGTCAATTTTCAAAAATAACAAATTTCCAAAAAAAGTAATACTCCCCCCTTTGATTTGCTCGGCAAACTTTTGGACTTTTTCGCTTCGATTGTCCACTAAATCTTTATTCTATCAATTGTAAAATTTCTAATTACCTTAATCTATTAAAAAGACTTAGGTGATTATAATTAAGCTTTCAGAAAAAAAATCAACTGATTAATTGATTTTCTAGGCCCTTCCAAACTCAGAAAAAGTGATTTTTCTCGATTTTTTATGTTAAGTTCGAATTTTCGAAAACTAGTGAATTTAGATCGAGAATTTCACCCTACATTATCAAACTAGATTCTTGTGAACACAAATTGTACAATATAATTAGAATCAGATGAGTTTTCAAAAAATCATTTAAATTCAAACGTCCGTACCTTTGAGTGAATCACCCTAATAGAAGAAATATACAAAGATGTAGAGTTAAATTAAAGAAAATACCTAATTATTTGCTGTATTAATAATAGCTAATAGTCCCTTATTGTGGCCTTGGACTTCAAACATCAATGGTAAAGTTTAGAGGCACAATTAAAGCAAATTTGCTTCTGTAACAAGATTTAAATATTAATACTAATTAAAAGCCTTCCCCCAACTAATATCTTATTATTTGAACTCCAGAATTCAATAAGCTTCGGACCAAAGAGATCAATAGTTTCTGTCACTCTCGTCGTGATGATGCCGGTTTGCCGCATGATGATAATGTCCCTTGGGCCATTAACTAAGACCGTTTCGGTTAAAGGTCACTTTGAGTCAAAGTTGGTGTTTATTTCACAACGGTAGACAGTTTTTTAAGAATAAGGTTGATCGGTATAAGAATCGTAACAATATTTACAATTTAAATCATGGAAATCATTAGGATATTATTATAAGCGGAAATTAGATTGATTGTTGTGTAAATTGTTATTAATAGTAACCGTTATTAATTGTCAAAGGGAAGTAGATTATGTGTTGCTTTTATGTGTTGTTTAATGATCAACTGTTTGATTACTAAATTGTTGGAAATTAAAATTGGTTAAATAATTACATGAACAATTTAAATGTTGGTCAGTAATATTTTTGTTAAATTGTTGAAACCAGTTTGATTCAGGTTAACTGGTCATTACAGTTAAGTAATTACTGGACAAACCTTGATTATCAATGAATGATTTAATTTGGAATCACAATTAAAAACTGATTATCAAATTTTTGGTAAACTCAAATGATTGATAATCAATTTTAATATTATAAACAAAGTTAATCAACTTGTTATTTATCAATCCAAGTATTATACAATCTGATCAGTTAAAAGTTAAATTGTGAAAAATTAAAAGGGGGCAAGATTAATTTGATTCATTCTAACAATTTATCTTTGATTACTGTTGATACATTACAAGCCGATTGCTTATTACATGTTAATCCAGGATTGAAACTGTTAAATGCGATGAAGACAATCAACTAATTGTTGAACATTGATTGTTAAATTGCCTAGGTTGTTAAACTGGTTAGTTGAACGGGTTATTTAATCATCAATGAAAGTTTATTAACTTTTATTTTCACAATCAAAAAGTTTATCCAAAAATCAAAGGTAATCTTGATTCTGATTATTGTTTGATGATAATGAAACTGATGATGATAAGAAAGATGAAGATGATAATTGGGTGTGCCAATGAAAGTAATCATCTCGTTCTGTGGTGGGTTTATCATCATTATCTTCATCTTCTCATGGCAACAACCTTCGAGGACTCGACGAGTCAATAGGATCTTTGGCCTTGGATTAACTTGTTTGAGTTTCAACAGGTAGATTTGTCATCATCTGAATGAGGATGTAGATGATGAGGATGAGCAAATAAAAAATGATGAAGATAAAAAAGGAAAGGATGAAAAATAAAGGTTAATGTTTTTTGTACTCAATTCTTGATGATACTCAGAGTTGGACTAATCAAGTTGTTGTTAATTATTATCTTTTGTAAAATCAAGGATAAAAATCAAATCAATTCAATTAAATTCAATCAACTAATGGTGGAAAATATTACTTTTTAACAGATTACCCAGAAATCTAGATGTTCATTTGAGATTTGGCGAAAATCAGTCAATCAGAATTATTATTGGGAAAAAATTGTCGATTTGAAATGA